AGGAATGTAAGCTGTTAAAAAATGGGAAAAGTAGAACTAGGCCAAAGTATAATATGGATATAGTAGAATTTACCTTGTAAAAGGGCCACGTAATCTCAGTACAAGGGGTCTTTCACCATCATGGGTATGGAGGGAGATTAATTCTGTCAGGACCCAGCACAAACCAAAAACAAAAACCCCAATAAACCAAACACCCACCCCCCCCAGCACTACCAAAAAGGGGACAGAGCTGGATGCTTAAGAATTTTTGAACTCTAGTAAAGCACTCACTTAGCAGGAGCATTTTTGTTGAGATGTGATTAGAAAGGAAGCATTGAATTTCCACTTCAGTTACTACACTTAGAAATCTTGGAGTTTTTTCTTCCTTTATTTCTGTTGATTTTGGTCTTATAAAGAGTAAAGGCGAGGAAATTAGGCCATCTGTGTGCATATCAAGATTTGAAGCGGTGTGAATAAATAAATCTCTCATGCTTTTTATATATCAGTAAGGTATCATAAGATTTCTCTTGAAATTACTGTCAGGTATTGTTTTTACCTTTCATCCATCATACTACCTTAGAAGAGTGATGAACTTCACTAACGTTTTCTCCCCGTGCTTGGTCACTGCCAACATGGTAACTGTGACCTGCTCCTAAGAATAAGGGATTTATCCTTGAACTGATCCATTTTTAAACATCACACCAGTGTTTTAGATCATAGTAATGCAATTGAGTTGTTAAAAACAAACAACACTTCTCTTTCCTATGTATTGTTTCTTTGTTGAGAGTACTTTTCATGAAATGACCAACGCAAAGTTTTCATTTGGATAGAATCTATCATCTTTTTTTTGTCATCAGTTTGTAAATGTCCAGGCTGTCTACACATATTTTTACAAAACTTCAAGACTGGCTGGAAGTCAGAAGAGCTTAAGTGTCTGAAGTTCTTTGTATGAAATTAATTTTCTTGGTGCAAATACATTGTCAAGTAGATGGCAAGGGTCCAATATATAAAGACGAAATTGGTAAATATGCTGGCAAAACCTGTCCAAGTGTTTCCCAGGTTTCAATGGCAGAGACGTTGAAAGGAAATACCATATAATTAGCAGCTTTTTGTGTTCTTTATTGAGGCTGAAGACATCATCACCCTTCCCTGGGAAGAGCTGTACTGTTTCCTCTTCTATGTCCTAAATTTGCTTAGCTCCTTAAAGACTACCAAGGAGCTTCCATCTCTGTTTTCTCTCTGTCACCCTGAATTTTGTAGCAGGCAACAGTTTCTTTTCTTGCCTTTACCTTTCTGGAGATTCTTCCATCCCAGTCTCCTGATCTTTCAGGGTTACTTGAAATAACCCTCAGCTGTTTTCCAGCCTGAAGGATATTCCAGGAGCTGACAGCTGAAAAAAGTGAGTCAGTTTAGAAATGCGGCTGAGAGATGGTGATGGTGTTTCAGGGTATCCAGTAATGAGTCTGACATTCCCAGGGGTAGAAACTCTTCTACTTGTTTAATATTGTGTCAACAAGTATTGCAGCTGAAACCCTGGAATAACTTGCTGGTGTCCTGAGAGTAAAGTGAAGATCCGTTATGCAGGATGGGAAGTACTCCTCAAGTGAGCCTCAGAGCTGCAATGTTCCCTTCCTGTCCCTTTTCTCTTCACTAGTCTTTAAGTGGTCCTGCCCATTGGCTGCTCTGGCTTTGAGGAAGGAAGTTGCGTTCACAAAAAAATGCCCCAAACTAAGGTGGATTCCCTTACCTATTGTTGGTCCATGTAAAGAAGCTGTTAATTAGACTTTCATTTTGGACTTTTGGTTTTTTTACAGCTTTAAATGAAATCCCGCATAGCCCTCCACCACTTCCTGAATCGGGAACACCTCCGATATCGCAGTGGGAAAACCCAACAGTGGTGACCTAGTAAAAAAAGTGGTAAGTTAGAACTGTTTTCCTGTATTACAACTTTGTCTGCTTTGCTTAACAGATCTCTTGTGACTCTCAAGCATTTGTAAAGGAAGTTATTTGAAGGACCAAAGGATGGAAAGGACTACTCAAAATTATAAGGCTTTTTTCTTCTAATTGCATTCTCTAATTTAATTAGGTAATTTAGACTGCTGACAGTTCTGAAAAGCACTTTGTTGGTTTTACTAAACTTTGATCACATCTATCTTCAATTTTTCTCTTTTTAGCAGCTGGAATCAGGATATTCTACAATTTGGTTTCAAAAGCACTGCAAAGTGATTCAAAGTCCAATGAGATTTACATCGTGAAATATTGTCAAAGTCCTTTAGAAATGCATTTTTTTACCTTCATACACACAGTACCTTTTGGTGTCTGTGCTAATTTCCAGGCAGAGGAAACCGTTCTGTAGATGAATGAAGCTTGCTTTCTTCAGTTCTTTGCTTGTAGTTGTTTTCTCCTGGTCCTGTCAGAGCCTGAGTAAAACCATCTATTTTGGAAAGTAAGGCTCTGCTCCTTGCTCCTGAGCACATAGTAACAGTAGACATTGTAGCTGTCTGTGTATCCTATATGCCCTTTGACACAGATTTACAAAAGGGAATTAAAATAAACTAGAAAATGACAGTAGAATTTCCAAATATTGAGTGCTGTGATGGCAAGAATGGCAGAGAAACTTGTGGAAACCACAGGCAGTAAAAAGATCAAATCAAATCAAATCAAATCAAAAGCCCTCACTAGATGGAGAGCTGTCAACAAATGTCTTTGTGGCTACCTCTGCTAATAGGATAAGGGGGGTTTTAAGTGTCATGATTGAAGAGGCTATTCATAGATGTCCCATCTTTTCTGGATAATGCTGAAAAAGTAATTTCCAATACAAGGCATTAAATAACATTTTATACAATGCAACCCCAAAACTTTTCCAGTGTCATCCAGGCTATTATGATAGGCATGTATAAGCCTCAGAGAATTCTTTTAAGAAAAAGACTGCATCAAATCCACTGAAACATTTCTTATCTTTCCAAAGACAAGATTTAACTTTTGTGCTTCTAAAACTAGTATTGTTTGTCAGTGGAAGTGATTAACCAGCAACAGTAAAAATTGTTGACCATAAGCAATAGTTGGCCCAGATTTCTTCCTTTTCACACAGAAAAAGAAAATTTTTGGTATGAGGATAACATCCCCATCTGAAAGGTGGAAGGTTGTTTTCTTTCTAATCGGGTTCATTTAATCAGGAACTTTCATTTGGGGACTTAAGAGTAGAAATTTTGTCACAAAATACATCTAGGCATTTTCTAGGTGGGAAAAATCACAGAAATTGTTTACCAGTTTCAAGTGCATGTATCCCTAATTCAGTAAACAAGACTGTTCAGACCTGTTCAAAATTACTGGTTCAAAAAGGATACTTTTGAACTCAGATTCAGCACTCTGATTTACCATGCTGTTCCAGAAGCAGCTGCGCTTGTTCAGCAGAGCTGGCAGTACTTTCTGGTACTGGGGTGAAAATGAACAGCAGGAGTCAGAAAGGACGGTAACTTGTTAATCCATTACTGTGGTCCAAGCCCTTCGGACATGGCACATGTTCCCCTCTGCTGGCTCTGCTACAGGGTGGTCATCTCTGGCAGGGTCAGGATGGGCAGCTGGGAGCAGTGACGCCTTAATCTGCCAAAGAAAGATTCACCAGGGTTCATCTGTTAGATCTCTAGGAAACATACTTAGATGCCTTCTTTAATGAGAGCTACTGTTATTTGCAAGAGACGCTGTCCTGTGCAAGTTGCATCAATGCCATGTTTTCTGCTTCAAGCCTGTTCAAAGTGTTTCATCTGTCAAAGTTAAGTCAAAATTGATAACGTAACTGCAGCAGTTGGAATCCTATGGGCAGTGAAATTGTACATTTGTATGGCTCTCCTAAATTTGGCTCTTAAGCCCTGACTCCCATGTAGTAGGAAAAGAGGGCTGGGTCATACCTAATGCACAATTTAAGCTGTGATTCAGGTAGTCAGCCAGCTTATTTACATCTCCCTCTATGTCCAACAAGACTTTAAAATGCTAGAACACACCATAATACTTACTACTTTATTCCCAGTCCTCCAGAAACTCTTGGTTTTCCTGTCTGGATATAATTTAATATAAGAAACACATCATTTAAACGAGATTGTTTTTGTTTCTTAGGCTTAAAGAAATGGCTTTTTTCTTTTGAATCCTTGCAGGAGTTGGATCATCCAGAACAGGGTGGAATGCCTCAGCTAGAACCCGCACTACCCCCGAGGTAAGTGCAGTTCTTCAGTAACCTACCTAAGTGGTGTTTCTGAGTTAGTTTGCCTAGTTAGTCTCAATGTAGACACTACCAACTCTAGTCCTAACTCAACAGGCTGCGTAGATAGTATACTCACTAATAAGTAGGCAGGACCAAGTTGCTAGCTGATTAATACTTGTTTGTACATTATCAGTATGAGCAGGGAGATTATAGGAGGACAGCTGTTTGGCTCCTCAGCTAATGTACAGTGGCTGCTGACAGTCATTCCTTTCTGCATCTTTAACCTTTTCACCCACAGCTGAACGTAGAACATCCCCTCCTGCATGTTGCTGACCTTTTGATCCACTTGCACTTGTGGCTGGGTTTGGGTGGTGAAGGAATGGAGGTGGCAGATGCTGCCACCCTCAAAAGGGCAGAGGCTGGTCCGGCACCTTCCCAGAGGCACTGGCTGGTTTAGGCAGTTCACTTCAGACCTAAAATGCCTGTGAAGGTGCAGAATCAATGATAACCTTGGGGTTTTTATTCTTTTGAACCAAAAAGAAAGAAGATCTGCAGAGGCAAAAGTAGCTGGACCAGCCTTAAATTCAGGTCCACTAGATGCCCGAGACAACCTGGAGGGAGATAAGGCATTGGCCAGGTAGCCCACTGCGGCTGTCTCAGCATCTGCACGCTACATCTGCAGGTTTAAACACAGTTTGCTCGGTTGTGTCAGGGCAAGAGAATCCTTCAGTTATTAAACTTAGTCTACCAATAAGAGTAACTATTCATTAACAGGAAAGAATGTGTTGTACCCACAAGGAAACACCTCATTATTGCCCCTTACGGGCTTGTTGCTTTCCCCTGTTCTGTTTAGCATAGCAGCATTGCTGATTCTCCTGAGGGTCTCTGGAAGTGCAGTAAACATTTTGTCCTTTCACTCTTCTGCTCAAATGGAATTTATTTTTTTTTTTAAGTAAGCAGTACTAATTCTCTGAATTGCTTTTTAGGGTTTTCTTGTTTAGTTGAGTTGCCTTACAAACGTATGGGTTGGTTTGTTTCCAGATTTAATGCAGTCTAACTTGGAATTTCCCCTTTTGTCAATATTAAAAATGCTTAGTTTAGGATGAGGCCAAGAAAGGGGAGAAGTGGAAATTAAACAGAAGTGGAAAATTTTTTTGAAATTTAAAAAAAATCCTTACTCGAATAGTAATACAGAACTCTTACCAGGAGCATTAGTAGAGCACTAATATCTTCTCAAGTGGTGGATGACATTTACAAAATATGTCAGAAGGATACTCCAAAGATCCACTAATGCACATTTGTTGTGGTTAATAATTTTTACAGACCCTTGAGGAATTCACACGAGCAAATAATTATGCTGAATTACACTATATGAAAAAAAAGACTGACAATTGTAGCAGAAACTTGCAGTAACTGCCCAAAGATTTCCCAATAACAATCAAACAATATTGTATTTTCGGAACAGTGCTAGTGCCAGGGTTCTTAATAACAGGAAGCCAAAGTCTTATGTACACAATGCTTGTTTATAACAGAGGTGATTTTTAATTAGCAAATTATTGATTTGGCCACACTCTTTGATTCTAAAAGTCATGGCATGTGTGTACTGTATAGGCAGCTTTTTTTTTAACCAATGCTTAATAAGGGGACTTTTTTAGATTTTTAATTTTTTTTTTTAAATTACCACTGTCACTTGCCAGTCTTTGATTTTGGTTTCTAAACTACTGGTATGCTAATGAGAGTGTGGTACTTCCAGCATTGCCAGAAAACTCAAGTATTTTCACCAGTGTTTTCTTTCTGCAGTAGACCTCTGTTGCATAAAAATGGTAAATTCTGCTCTTGATGCCATTGTGGAAAGTGGTTTCATATGTCATTAGTTTCAGCAGGGGCCCAAAAGTCACCTCAGGTAAGTGATGTCCCAGGGAATGAGCTAGGCTGATTCCTGAAGATCAGCTAGATCAGCAGAGCTTCTCAGGGCTTTCACTAAAGCTCTCCACAAGAACAAATCCATCCCGAAGCTTCAGATAAAGCTCTTTCTAAAGGTGGATTGCTGAAAGAAATCCTCCTTATGTAGCAGGCTCCCAAGAAATCTGGCAGGCTGTTGATAAGCGAGAGTGGTGAGCAGACTTGGAAATATATAGTCAAAGGATCTGTCTAAGGACTTGATCGTCCAGTCCCAGTATCTGAAGAGTTCATGTATTCCCGGAGAGGTTCAGATACTACACACTCTACAGCCCAGGTCATCATGAGTCATGTTCCCTTATGGTATACTCTATAGCTAGGGCTGTGGTGGAGGAGGGGGTGGCAGGCTTATTAATATGCATATTTCTCTGATGGTTTGCCCAATTTTTAGGCCTGTGGATGGAAAAATTATACCTGCTCGACCTCCTCCACCTAAAGGTGTTCCTGGAAGGCCACCTCCACCAAAACTCTCTGCAGCCAAGACCTCCTCCCAGAAGGATGCTCTTTCGCGATCTACTTCTGACATCGCTCCTGATAAAAAACCCAGCAAGTTCAGACTAGGACCCAAGAGAGCAAAAACTCAAGTCTTTAAAAATCCAGATCCAGTGTTACCTCCTAGACCTAAACCGGGTCATCCTCTCTACAGTAAATACATGGTGAGAATTGAGACATTCTGTCTGAGACTGTTGTTTATAAAACAGTGCTGGTTCAAATCCTAGTGACAAAGGTAGTAAGGTAGGTTACTGTGTGGCTTTCAAAGTGCATCTAGTAGCATGATCTTCCTTAGAAAATACTAATAGATAAAGAGTAGTAAGTACTGTAAGGTAATACTGGAGAAAGCAATATATACATGCAAAGTATAAATATTTGTGTTTCTGGTTTTGTACATATATGTAATTTTAATATATATATCTATCTTTAACGCATAGCTTTTGACCGTACTTTTTACAGTCACCAGTTCTGAATTCTATTCAGGCACGTAAAATGATGCTAAACAATTGCATTTGTGTATTGTTTTTCCCTGTATATGTCAAAATGCTTAAGAAAATTGGGGGAGCATTAGAACTGAAAAAGTAGTTTACCTTGCTTAATCAAGCCTGCAAAGAGTGAGGAATGTAACATCACTTATCTTACGTTTTCATCCTATTAATGCCATCCCTTAAAAATGTTTCTTTTTGGTATTGCATGTGTTGCTAGGGAATACTAAATATACATGGATCAACATTACAGATAAAAAGGAGAGAGTCTTTCCCCAGATACTTGAAATTGGTCAGTGATCAGAGCTGGTGACTGCTTGAACCAGTGCTGTTGTCAAAAAAAGCACCCACACAAGCATAGTGTGAACATCGACATTCAGCATGAAGTGGAAGCTTTCTGTTGCCTTCTTTTTGATCGTCACTCTTGCATTTAGATCCTTGGTGGAGCAGAGGAGCAAGAAAGAGAGAGATGTATCTAAGTTGATGGTACGAACAGCTTTGAACTAAAGGAAGCATGTTGCTTCCTCTCTGGTGTAGCAACACCTATTTACATAAGAAATGTGCGACACATTCTTGTAGATGATACTTTTTTCAGTAGCAGATCACTAGTAATTCCCTGCCCTCAAGTGTTACTGTCAATGAAATTTTCCTCCCAGGTTGATTTTATCCAGTGCCCTCCATGACAAATGAATACATAGCCGTGTGGGTGCACTGCTGAACATCAGTACTGTATGGTATGATACCAGTTAGGTGGATAAGACATTTCTAAAGCGGATACCACCACCTGGGTTTCTCAAAGTGGCAGTTCATATCACCACCATTCCATTCTGAACACCTTCCAAAGGAGCTTCTCCTCTTCCACTGGACTCCCTAAATTAGTTACCTGTAGTAGGTGGTTTGAATAGTTCCATCATCTGACCATTTTCACTTGCAGTGGGAATTTCAGGTGCTTAGAAGTGAAACAAACTTTTCCATTTGCCTCTGTTTCTATTTGAGCTACCTGTGCCTCATGGAGTTGCCAAGGAAGATTGTCCTCCCAGGAACACTGGAGAACTGTCCTGTAAGGTAAGGAATTTTTTTCCTGCT